TCAGGGACTGACGGCGGACCTCGCACAACCCAGCGACGTCAACACACTCCGTGCCATGCTGCTCGATAAGTATCGTAAGTAGCCAAATATTTGTTTTGTTCTGTAAATCTGAAGCAGTGTCCCATAAGCCATAAGTGGTGGGAAGTTAAATAGTTTACGCTGCTAGGATTAAAACATTATTCGGTTATCTAGTAAATGAAAGACATCAGACATAAAACATCACAGGTATATACATAATTAGAAATTGTCAAGCATTTAATAAAACACGAATTCCCTAAAATTTCTCAAAGGTTCTGACAGGTATCGTAGTCATACAGTCTTACTAAAACCGAAACAGACTAGACCACAAGTACATCATTACGATGTGTGGTGCAGCGAGAGGAGCAGGAGCACCCACAAGCACGTAACCATGAGGGAGGCGGGTGTGCTCTGGTATCAGCTTAAAGAGAATTCTCTCATAGTAACAATTTTTGTGGAACAAGGACTAAACACCCATAGTCTGCTGCACCCATTAATCACCCTAAAGACCTATGACCCAACTGAATTCTTCGTGAACACAAAACCCTACAGACGCCTCCAGAATCTCTTATATAATCCTAACATCACTAGACTTCAAAGAAGCTATTGATTGCATGCCAATGCACTCTGCCTCAGGCCCTGACTCGTGGAACTCCGTATTCGTCAATAATTTCAAGAAACTATTATCACATGCCTTGAATATTCTATAGAGGAGCCTAGATACTGGAGTTATCTCAGTCATTCAAAATATTTCATATGGGCTCCACTCCAGAAAGGTGGCAACAAAGCAATTACAAAAAAAAAAAAAATAAAAATAAAAAATAGACCGCTAGTGCTTATGTCCAGCATTACAGTAGTGTGCATATTAATTGGGATAGTGATGAAATAAGACATTTATTTTTGAAAACTGATGTTTATTTGAAAAATATAAGGCAATGATATAACAGATAAATGATTTAATAAGAGATATGACTACCCTTTGCTTCTATAATCATTGCTACACACGCTGACATAGAATCAACCAAGGTTGAACACATTTTGTCAAGTTCTTTGTCGTGGTACCAGGTCCTAATAACAGCAGCAATTAGCTTCTCCACAGCTGAACAGTACTGTTTAGCGACCCTGCGTTTGGTTATTACCCATGATCTCAACTGGGTTAAGGTCAGAAGAGTTTTCAAGCCAATTTAGAACGCTTGGTCCACTCTTTTTGAAGAGTGTCAATATTTTTCTGAAAGTGTGGCATGTAGCAAGATCCTGCTGGGAAATGCCTTCTCCATCAGGAAAGTCTCTGTTCATAATGGGAAGCAAATGAGTTACCAGGATCTGGAGTTTTGAGACTCTCTGATCGCGGGTTCTATCCCCACCCGTGGTATGGTTTTTTATTGCCTTGTATTTGTCACTGTTCATCATTCCCTCAGCAATAACAAGCCGTCCAGGGCCTTTAGCAGTAAAACTACCTTAAAACATCTTAGGTGGGTGTTTCGGCTCTTGTTAAATGTGTCCATTCTAAAGAGGTTCGCCTTTGCTCCGTCTCACTACCATATAACTTCTCTCCATTCATCTGTCGTCCATCACTCATGATCGAGTACCCACTGCAGCCATTTTTTCTTTATAGCAGCAGTCAATAACAGTTTCTTTACCACTTTCTGGCAGTTCTGCCGACTTCAAGGAGCCTTCGTTGAACAGCTGAAGAATCAACATTTATGACAGCTGAAGAATCAACATTTATGACAGCTGAAGCCAAATCTTTCTGTAGATCTTTGCTGGTTTTCTAAGGATCCTTCACTCTATTTCATATGATAACCTTGTCTTCCATTTTTTTCACATCTTCCTCGACGCAGCGCTCTGCAATCACCTGTATCGTCAGCTATCCTCAGAATCTGACCAACAGTTGACTGACTTTGCTAGGATCAAATTTTCGGCAATCTGTCTGATACTCAGCAGTAATCATGAATTGAAGGGGAGAATTTGTCAAAAACCACATTTATTCGCGGAGCACGCTTGCAGGAATAGCCTTACAGAGCAACAGCTATTGTAGCACTGAGGAGAGTCAGAGAGTAACACCACAGTTGGTTGGTTGCCAAAAGTCGGTAGAAAACTCTTCTGAAAAGAAAAGAACCCAAATTACATTAAATAAGCCGGAGACTAAGACATGAGATAATCACAAAATTCACTCCTGTTCCAAATAATCTGTACACTACTGTATCTGAATTTTTGAAAGGGTTCTAAGAAGCAAGATTGCCAGTCATATGAAACTGAAGCAGTTGCACAACCCAGGCCAGCATGGGTTCACAACAGGTCGTTTCTGCCTCTCGCAATTGCTGGACTATTACATGGTCTTACTGTAGATACACTGGAAGACAAGCAAAATGCAGATGTAGTATACAGTGGTTTTGCAAAAGCCTTTGAGAAATGCGACCATGAGGTAATTGTACACAAAATGCATGCAAAGGGAATAACTAGAACGGTGTGAAGATGGATATTTAAGTTCCGATTTAATATAACCCAAAGAGTGATGATAAACTGAATGGAATCAGAAGCTGTTACAGTGAAGAGTTTTGGCCACCAAGGCATAATACTCTTCCCACTTATCTTTCTCATTCTCATATCTGACACAAACAGGGACATAAACCATAGCACTGTATAATCCTTTTTAGACGATACTAGGATTTTCATGAGAGTGGCGAACCTCCAAGCTGATATGAATGGGCTACTGACAACAATATGATGTTCAATGAGGACAAATTTCAGATACTATATTTACAGATGGATTGAGATAATAAAAAAAAGACTAGAGTACAAGACAAACTCAGATCACTAAACAGAGCGTGAGTCTAATGTGAAAGACCTGGGAGTGATAATGTCAGATCTCACGTTTAATTAGCACAATGCCATTATCACAACTGCCAGGAAAATGATACTGTATGTTGAATAACTAGAACTTTAAAAAAATTGGCAAGCCAGTGATGACACACCTTCTATGTTTGAATATTGTTGTATACAAATGGCCCCCTTAAGACAAGCGAAATTATTGAACTGGAAATTGTACAACCTCCATACCGTATAGACAGTAAAATACCTAAATTACTGGAAGCGCTTGAAGCAACAAGTATAAAGGGACCACAACTTTCCAGTACCTTCTTTCATGCATAAGGAGAATTATCAGCAGAGTCCTGGCTGACTTCAAGACAGAACTCGACAATTTTTTTAAATCATTTCCTGATCAACCAGGCTGTGTTGCGGCGGGTACAAACAGCTTCATGAATCAGGCTAGTAATCAGGAGGCCTGATCTGGGACCGGACCACGAGAGAGGTGATCTTTGGAAATTACTATAGGTAACGTACAGGTAACCCTGTATTGCCTACTGCTCGATTGCAGGGCAGATTTTTGCCTGCCACTTCCAAATGAAATACTAATTGATGTATGTAGCTGATAAGGTCACTATGAGGCAACAAACCCCAACTCATTACTAAGAACCCCTAACATGGCATAGGTACTAACAAAATATCGTGTCTTTATATCGGGCATGGTGCTAGGTCAGTAGTGACTGGATCTTTTGATCTACAGGGTGAACTATAACACACTGTGTCAAGTCGAACAGGGCGCTTTGAGAATGTATAAAGGTTGAATATGGACCAGCTACAGGCAGCCATCAGGTTGAGAACAGCAAAGATAATTAGCTGTGAAGTGATCCCAGGACTCACTTAGTAACTGAAGACAACACAAAATATTGATATTAACCAGTATCTTCATTATGATTATAATCACATCCAAGACCACGCCATCAATCTAATGGTGTCAGCAAGGACTTTGACTTTTAAAGCATAAACAAAATTATGCTCAAGGAAATTAGTGAGTCACTTAGATGTCTTCATCCACCATCTACACACACACACACACACACACACACAAGGCCAGGAATTGTGAATCGACCCCTGCAACCACAAATAGGTGAATACACATAATCAGAACCAGCCAAGGAGGCCAGGGAAGACGCCCACCTCCCAGACAACAGATACATTCAATCCAATATCCAGGAGAGCAACTCTCATCCGAACAAGGAAGGGCCCAGGAAGACAATTGATCAGCAGGGTAAAGGGCACGCCCACCCCTCACGACAAAGATAGCAGCGAGGGTCAGAGGTACCAAAAGGAATACGTAGAACGCCGATACTGAGTACGGAGAACAAGTGGTCGCCAGAAAACGGTTGAGGGTTTTACGAAGGTTCATGGCCGCTTGAAAGGGGGGGGGGGGGTTGGTAAGGGGCTTCAAGAATAAGCAAAAAAAAAAAAACTACATACACACCTTGAACCACAGTCATCTTTGTTGCAACAAGTATTGTTGTTCTCTCAGAACCACCTTGCACCCTACCTTGTGCACAACACCAGGACAGCACTTTCAGAACTGACACTATACAAGGTTTAGCAAAATTGCCTGTTTAGACAAAAGAACGAACTATGAGATTGTTTTATAGGTAATAAAGACGTCGGGAGAGCCAATAAGAACGTCGGAGGTTCACTGCCACTCCTGGATCCGCAGGTAACCTAAAACAGCAGTTTCTGTCATCAAGAGACCGCTAGATGGCCACCATTATCTGGCCAGAGGTTCGCCTGACATATAAAGATGATTTAATTTCATCAGGTGGAGTGACCTAACCACGCCAGCACTGGCAACAGAAGATACGTTACAACAGCGACTGTACTGATTTCTTTCTTTTCTCAAAAGGTGAAATATCTCACTAATGAGGCTAAAGAGGTAATACTGTACTCTACCGTAAGTAATTTGTTACATGGTTGTATCATTATGTAGCATCAATGATTACTATTATGTTAAACTTTTTTAAAAGCTTTCCTGCTTCTATGAAACCTTGCCAAGTTTGCCTCCACCTTCTCACCATTCACTCTTTTCTCTCTCTCTCTCTCTCCAAACTTCCGTCACTCCCTCGTCCCTCTCTCTCTCTCTCCAAACTTACGTCACTTCCTCGTCCCTCTCTCTCTCTCTCTTTTTCCCTCACTTTCTCCCTACCTCCTCTCACCATTACCTCCCTCTACCCACAGCTGAGGACGACTGTCGCTTCTACTGGGTGGGAGCGTCTGAGGTGGGGTCAGAGGGCGCCTGGGAGTGGCTCTCCAAGACGCCAGTCTCCAGGAGAGAATGGGCGACCGGACAACCAGACGGAGGCAACGAAAACTGCGTCGTCCTCAGTAGGGACGAGTACCCGGCCCTCCATGACAGCCCCTGCTACACACACACTACCTTCATCTGCCAGAAGCATTTAGTGCCGCAGGTGCCGCAGATGCGAGAGAGAGAGGTACTGGTGCAGTGAATGTGATGTACTGAAGTGTTGATGTAATGTGTAGAACAGGTGTTCGAGAGATGTAAGGACGGTGATTTTTATAGGTGTAGTGATAAATGTTTGTTGGAGAAAGGTAAAGTGAGCTCAAGCGGCAGAAAAATATAAACAAAGCAAAAATTCGGCTGGTAGAGCAAAATGAAGATAGCAAAGAACAGAGGGACGGCAGCCAGAGGAACAACAGCAGATGAAGAACAGACATCAGAGAGCAGTTAGACAGCAGCATCAGCAAACAGATGGGATAAAGAGCGACGAAACCACAAATGGACAGCAGTAAGGCAAATAGACGGGAGTATGAGCAGAGACGACAGATAAAAAGCACGTACGCGCTGCACACACCTTCCTGCCTCATCAACCCACTTCCTCTCAGTCCTTCCCTACATCCGTAGTATCAAGGCTACTAGGAGGTAGGGAGGTTTAGTTAGATGTAGCCTAAATTGATGGAGTACCCCGGATATGCCACCTGCCTCCCTGACTGGATCACAATATATTCCTGGAGGAATGGAAGAATGCATCTACGTAGGTGCCTGTCTGGCACCGACATCCCTAGTAGTGCTGGTCAGGATGGCGGTGCTGATGATCATAGAGAAGATCACAACCTCAGCAAGTACAGGGATTTGACCTGTCAGTACCGTTTCATTTTTATAGGATCAGAAACCCTTGGCTCCTGGTAAAAACATTCCATGGGTTTCAACCAGGTGCTGGGCTCCAGGCTCATCGAAACCAACAGAAACCTCAGGGTTGCCACCTTAAATTTTCTAGTGCCTCAGTTTGGCGATCTAAAGAGGAAACGCCTATTGCATTTTGGTTTCCCGACCGACATTCTAGGAGCTGCATAAGTTATATTAGGGTTTTTAAACATATTTTGCACTTCTGTATGTATGTAAATTCTTGTATTTATAAATATGCATATATATGTTTTACGTATCATTATGTGTGTTTGTGTGTGCGTGTTTATTATAATTATTTATATAAGTTAATAAACAAATAAATAACAGTTGTATTATTGGCATTGTACTCATTTAAAAATTTTAACATTTAATTCCAGTAAGACAGTTTCCTCCACCCATTAATTTATATTTCTATCACAGTAATTATTAATTACTGATTTGTATGCCCACGTTTATTAAATATATATATATATATATATATATATATATATATATATATATATATATATATATATATATAAGATGGGGTCCACCTCTGGTGTAAATTGTGGGACCCATAGCCTCGGAGAAGTGGATAAAAAGGCTTCAAGGAGGAATATTTGGATTTCTTCCTGAAGCCGTTTGAATATTCCACTTCCCATACCACCCCATCTTTTAAACTATTTTTTTTTACCAATAGGAATATTTTATTACATAATATGGCACAGAAGATTTAAGAGATACATACATATATATATATATATATATATATTATATATATATATATATATATATATATATATATATATATATATATATATATATATATATATATAAGTAATATAGTTTTCTACAGAGCGCCGTATCAAAGGGTGCCGCCTTTTCACACCTATGTGCTAATGACCTTTTTCACACCTATGTGCTAATGACCTTGACCCCGCCCACGACCCCCGCCCACGACCCCCGCCCACGACCCCCGCCCACGACCCCGCCCACGACCCCGCCCACGACCCCCGCCCACGACCTCTCACCCGCGCCCCCCGCGCCCCCCCCCGCGCCCCACCCGCGCCCCCCACCCGCTTGGACTTCCAGCAATCGTGCTTGAGCATGTTTGATAGGAGTGAATGGTGACAAATGGTTTTTAATACTTGACGTGCTGTTGGAGTGAATGATGAAAGTTGCTACAGCCCCAGTTAGATGGTCACAGTCAGTTGGTGTGGCCACAATCAGCTGGTGACAGTGAGGTGTGATATCACCGCAGGTGCCCCACACAACCAGCTGTTGACTGAGTTGGTGGAGGGGGGGTGAATTACTCAGCAAGACTAAACAAAAGAAATGCAACCATGTCAATGATAGTTAATGACAGTTATAGTTAATGGTAGCTAATGATAATTAATGATAATAATAGTTAATAATAGTTAACAGTAATTAATTATAGATAATGATAGTTAATGGTAGTTAATGACAGTTAATGGTAGTTAACGGTAGTTAAGGGAGCTCCTGTTATCCTCAGGACTCCAAAAATCACACAAGATCCTTGTCAGAAGATCAATTTAAGAAGATAATAAAACTTCTGTTATTAACTCTGGTAATAATAAAAAATGATTTCATACGCAGTTTCATTATTATTACAACAATACAATAAACAGGTTCTGAAGAAAGTTTTACACCGCGCTGCTTTCATTACATACACATTATCGTCTTTCTTTTCTAAATAAATCAATAAATACAGAATACATACGATTACAGGGAGCCTTTGCGCTCCTTGTGATCGTAATTGCTTGGACCTCCTCCTCTTTTCTGCAACATTGCAAGCATCTGATGATTTGTTGATTGCAACATGAAAAGCCTAGAGCTATCATTCAACTCCCCCCATGGTTAATGGAAATTCGTAAAAAACAATTAGAACATAATTATTAGAGTGCGGAGAGTGTAACAAGGCCAAGACAGACTAACCCCACCTTCATCCCACCGCCAAACGACCTAGTCTGACGGCTACAAAAAGGTATTTTCAAATGCCTTTAGAGAGAGGACTAGAGTATGGATTCACAAGCACAGTATCAGCTTGTAGGAAGCGTTAATGTTTTGATACATATTCAGTACTCAGATATATGGACAGTATTTAGCTATTTGCGAGCCTTTTTTTTTTCTTCAGGAGCAATTAAAAACCGTAGAATATTAACCACATAAAAAGTACATTTCTTTACCCACAATCAATGACGTAGTCTTATTTCCAAAGGAAAAGTCATACTAATATTCATATAATGAGACAGAAGGAGGCTTACAATGAGGGAGACGAGAATAAATAAAAAAGATTAGAAGAAAGAGATTTAAGAAGAGAAAGAAGTAAGATGGGAAAAAGAAAAAAGGCGAGGTTAGGCGACTATTCATGGCAGGTTAGTCAAGTTCTCTGTCAACTTTCAGACATTGACATATTACAGTTTAAGAAATAAACACTAGAGGTGCAGAGGTAGCTGAACTATGTCTTCCAAGATGATGAAGTTTACCCGATTTGAAAACCTCCTGCTACACCAGGGAAAGTTTTAAACTGGGATTCACGAAACCCTTAGGGTTCCATTAGAATTTTGAGTTTCAGTGAGAACTTTCATAAGAGACTGGAAGAGTGAGGTGAGATGATCTTTTACAAACTTTGTTCTCTTTGTATGTTTTTAATTTTAATGAAAAAGTGACTGACAACGTAAAAAGAAGTCTGGGCTGAGGGTCTTCCAGATACTGTGACAGTATTTTAATGGGAATAAAGAGAGTTCCAAGACTGAGAACTGACTAGAAACAACCAGCAGCTTTATCAAGGTCCGATGTGTTTGATTCCTCGATAGTCACAGCAACACATAAAATCTTTACCAGTTAGGTTTTCAGTTTTGTTCTCCCGGTTCTTAAAAGTTATAACAATGCTAACGTTATTATATTCATTAAACTTAGACACACAGGATGATGTTTTGCAAAGATTATTTTTAGTTAAGCACTTAAAAAGTATATAAAGAAACAGACTTACCCAACGAAAATAATCTCCTCCAGGTTACTGAATGTTATGTGAATGTTAAATGTCGATATAACTCAAAAATTCTTGGCTTATAATTGTGCATTCTCCAAATAATTGAGGTAATTTTATTTTATGGTGGCGGTAATTAAGATAACAAGAAAATGCTGAATAAATTATCTTATTTTTAAAACTCAATTTTATATAAACTATTGCATTTTTTTTAAAGTTGATAAAAATTAGAATTAGTAGACATGTTGTTTTGCCAGCACTTGTGTTGCGTCATTAATGATCAACCTTGGATAATGTTCCAATAATATTTTAACAAGAACTTTTCGTGGCTTCAGTTTTTTTAAACTTATGTGTAAGATTGTGTTGAAGGGAAGTAGAGAGTGAGTGGTAGACTGTGTTGAAGGGAAGTAGAGTGAGTGGTAGGCTGTGTTGAAGGGAAGTAGAGAGTGGTAGACTGTGTTGAAGGGAAGTAGAGTGAGTGGTAGGCTGTGTTGAAGGGAAGTAGAGAGTGGTAGACTGTGTTGAAGGGAAGTAGAGAGTGAGTGGTAGACTGTGTTGAAGGGAAGTAGAGTGAGTGGTAGGCTGTGTTGCTAAAGAAGAATACTATATTCATGGGAAGGCGGTGAACCTGTAGGGAAGCCATGCATGCAATGAGTCACAGTGGGTCAACAGTGAATGTCCAGCTGGCAGATAAAGTTCCTCTTCTTCCAGCAAGAGTAGTCATCGAGGGATGGAGGCCGGTGCTTCGACAGCAGCAGCGTCAGACAGTCCTGCACCTCACCCTGTCGACTGACGTTGTCTGGCCTCCAGTCAGCGACCACAGTCCCTCCAGTTACCCAGCGCCACTCACCCTCCAGCGCCTCGTCTGAAGCTCCCAGCCAGTAGCGAATTTTCTGGCTACCTGCGGACGATACCAACACTGTATATATACATTCTGAAGAAGACATTTTTAGTGTTATTAACCAAGGTGGATTAACTAAGGAAAACAAAGCAGTAGGTTCACAGTTATCAAGACGAGTGAAATCGTAATCACATATTTGCAGTCAAACCACGGTACAGGTGGGGATTGAACTCGCTGCAAGTGAGTCGTAGAACTCCAGACTAGCGCGTAAGCACCATAGATTCATCCAACTAGGTATATATGTACACCATAGGGAGGTTACCATGAGGTCATATGGGACCCATGCTAACCTCCCTATTGTGTATAAATATACCTAGTTAGATGAATCTATGGTGCTTACGCGTTGGCCTGGAGTTTTACGACTTACTTGCCGCGAGCTCAATCCCCACCTGTACTGTGGTTTGGTTCACGAGTTCTTTGACCACGGTAGCTCTGGTAAGAAGGATAAGGAAGTGCATAAAAGGATTGAGTAGGTATGAGAATTTTTCTTTATATAAAACTGGATACATCAGCAGAGCGCTGCTACATTATTCAAAACGATAGTTACCCAGTGGGAAGAAAAGCTAGTTATATTTCTCTGTCATATTCCATTACGCAGAATGGGGCTCATACAAGGTGTTGAAATGTGTCAGCCTGAGCTGGAAGACTTCAGTAAGTCAATGAGGATATCATCTAGTACTATTCCAGCATGGCTTCATCAACATAACTGGAGTTACTATCACTTTTGAATTACCATCACTCAGAACAGTCTATCTCATACACAGGAGAACTGGAATTTTTATAAAAATATCTCCATCATCATTATAACTGAGAGAGAGAGGAAGAAGAGGGAGAGGGAAGAGAAATTGGATGACAATATATCTAACAACATTAATAAATAACAATGCACATAACAGGCCAAGTGTCCACTCGACAAGTGCCTAAGACAAAATGGTAACTAACGAACATGCAATACAGTCATAAACAAATGATCTTAACAATGCAGGACAAACTACATGAGGATGGAAATCTTTAGCTCTAGATCTTCCGCGCTCTGGTACGTCGTCAGGAGTTATGCAATGTTGCAAGACAGCAACAGATAGGAGGGGAAATTCTCTGAGGCAAGACAGAAGGTGACGCCGCAACAGAGAGTAAGAAAGATGTAGAGCTGAAGATTCCAATCACCATGTGGCTTGTTCTGCAGACATACACATGTATGCATATATGTTCATATATACTTATGTAAACACGTACATATACATATATAAAATTCACACGGATATTTACATATTCATTATGTATTTACATACAACTGAGGCATCACTGGGCTGCTGAGTGTTGGCAAATTTAGGCTAGACAATAAGGATATCCTCAGGCATCCAGGAGTAGATAAAATATTCACACAGTTGCAAGTACACATTCCACCAGATCTAAAGTCACTGACAACTGGACACTCAATTATATAATGGTAGAGGACGTGTGTTCTCTTCTGCACAGAGTTTATTACATGTATGATAAGCAGAGATGGAGACTCACCTGCAGTTGCCCGCATCTACCATAAGTGACCATATTCTAACCTGATTCTGGCAAGAAAATATGTGGCCCGTCCACCAGTGAGTTTTCAGCGATAATGAATGTGTGAATTAATTTTTTTTGTCAAAATGACATGTATACAAGTTGTATATCGCACAATCCAGCTCGCGAACACCTGTATACATGAAAAGGTGTATACCTACACACGTGCGTTGACTTATTTAAATTCAAGTCAATACACAATAGTCCAGTAACTCGCAGGTACCTATTTGCTACTAGGTGTATATAGGCTGCAGGTGTGTAAGGTGCGTGGTATACGCCGAGTACCTTATTACATTCGACGTGTATCACACGTAACCACAGTCCTGCATACCATCATCAACCAGCTCAAAACACCGTAGCTTGTTGTTTGTGTGAATGAGGGGCCCATTCTCATACAGGGTAACTACCAGTTGTGCTAGAGGTCTGCCAGTCAGGGTGATGAGGGGGGCCCAGGGTAGGTTACCATGTAATTAGGAAAGCCCTGGAGCTTCAGTTCCTTACAAGGTTCTAGCTGGTTAACACCATACGAGAGTTCTGTCCTCTGTATGGGTGTATAAGCTATAGCTTGTGAGAATGCTCATACTCTCCCTCTCTTTCGTTACACCCACTCATATTATGGGATTAGTTAAGTTTGTTGTAAATAATGTACATATTTTTAAATAAGTCTCTTAGTTCTGGGTATATATGGGTACTCAATAACATCTGATGTATACTTGACTCCTTAAATTCTTGACTGATCTGTTAACAGACAGGTACAAGTGACCTTTTAACAGTACTTGTGTTGGCAATGAGGGAATTTACCTATACATTACCCGGGAAATAGAACCTGAGCATTTTGGACTGCGAGCCTAGCTTTCTATCACTGTACAAGTCATGATATATAATAATAATTATTACTTATACAAGTACATAATACAACTTATACAAGGTCACCATTTAGGTGTTCTGTGAAGACAAAGCACTGAACACAGTCCTTGATTAAACCACAAGACCTGTTTTAATATTAGCGAGAACCCGAACTGTAGGAATGAGGTGGAAGCAAACAGACGCCATCACTAGTCATAACCAACCAACAGCCTGACTACTCAGTGATCCCCGGGGCGTGACGAGCGGACGGTGGATCAAGCCTCGACCACTGCGTACGCTGACTGAGCCACGCGGGTCTAGCGCTTCATGAAACACAATATTGTAGTGTCAACACTGGAGGGTACGCTGGCCATCCAACACACCATTCTTCACCATGGTAACCATGACCAAGACACCATCCTTCACCATGGTAACCATGACCATTCAACACACCATCCTTCACCATGGTAACCATGGCCAACCAAGACACCATTCTTCACCATGGTAACCATGACCATCCAAAACACCTTCCTTCACCATGGTAACCATGACCATCCAAAACATCTTCCTTCACCATGACCATCCAAAACACCATTCTTCACCAGGGTAACCATGACCATCCAAAACACCTTCCTTCACCATGGTAACCATGACCATCCAAAACATCTTCCTTCACCATGGTAACCATGACCATCCAAAACCCCTTCCTTCACCATGGTCACCATGACCATCCAAAACACCTTCCTTCACCATGGTCACCATGACCATCCAAAACACCTTCCTTCACCATGGTAACCATGACCATCCAAAACACCTTCCTTCACCATGGTAACCATGACCATCCAAAACATCTTCCTTCACCATGGTCACTATGACCATCCAAAACACCTTCCTTCACCATGGTAACCATGACCATCCAAAACACCTTCCTTCACCATGGTAACCATGACCATCCAAAACACCTTCCTTCACCATGGTAACCATGACCATCCAAAACACTTCCTTCACCATGGTAACCATGACCATCCAAAACACCTTCCTTCACCATTGTAACCATGACCATCCAAAACACCTTCCTTCACCATGGTAACCATGACCATCCAAAACACCTTCCTTCACCATGGTAACCATGACCATCCAAAACACCTTCCTTCACCATGGTAACCATGACCATCCAAAACACCTTCCTTCACCATGGTAACCATGACCATCCAAAACACCTTCCTTCACCAGGGTAACCATGACCATCCAAAACACCTTCCTTCACCATGGTAACCATGACCATCCAAAACACCTTCCTTCACCAGGGTAACCATGACCATCCAAAACATCTTCCTTCACCATGGTAACCATGACCAAGACACCATCCTTAACCATGGTAACCATGACCATCCAAAACACCTTCCTTCACCATGGCAACCATGACCATCCAAAACACCTTCCTTCACCATGGTAACCATGACCATCCAAAACACCTTCCTTCACCATGGTAACCATGACCATCCAAAACACCTTCCTTCACCATGGTAACCATGACCATCCAAAACACCTTCCTTCACCATGGTAACCATGACCATCCAAAACACCTTCCTTCACCATGGTAACCATGACCATCCAAACACCTTCCTTCACCATGGTAACCATGACCATCCAAAACACCTTCCTTCACCATGATAACCATGACCATCCAAAACACCTTCCTTCACCATGATAACCATGACCATCCAAAACACCTTCCTTCACCATGGTAACCATGACCATCCAAAACACCTTCCTTCACCATGGTAACCATGACCAAGACACCATCCTTCACCATGGTAACCACGACCAAGACACCATTCTTCATCATGGTAACCATGACCATCCAAAACACCTTCCTTCACCATGGTAACCATGACCATCCAAAACACCTTCCTTCACCATGGTCACCATGACCATCCAAAACACCTTCCTTCACCAGGGTAACCATGACCATCCAAAACATCTTCCTTCACCATGGTCACCATGACCATCCAAAACACCATTCTTCACCAGGGTAACCATGACCATCCAAGACACCATCCTTCACCATGGTAACCATGACCAAGACACCATCCTTAACCATGGTAACCATGACCATCCAAAACACCTTCCTTCACCATGGTAACCATGACCCTCCAAGACACCATCCTTCACCATGGTAACCATGACCAAGACACTATTCTTCACCATGGTAACCATGACCATCCAAAACACCTTCCTTCACCATGGTAACCATCACCATCCAAACACCATTCTTCACCATGGTAACCATGACCATCCAAAACACCTTCCTTCACCATGGTAACCATCACCATCCAAACACCATTCTTCACCAAGGTAACCATGACCATCCAAGACACCATTCTAGTAACTACTTCTAGATGGACGTCAAAGTATACTCTAGTGACTACTTCTAGAAGCACGCAAAGTATATTCTAGTAACTACTACTAGATGGACGTCAAAGTTAGCATACTCACGGAAGTTTTTAAGGTGGGTTGCGAGGAGGGTGAGGTCGCTGGGGTGGGCCAGGTGGGCACCCATAGTGTCACAGGCAGTGCCAGCATCGTGCCAGGCCAGCTTGACAGTCTGACTCAGGTAGAAACACTCCTCACCCACCACTGTGAATGGTTCACTACACCAGCTGTCTGTGGAGGTAGTGTGTCTTAATGAGGAAGTACCTCAGTCAGGGAGTGTCTCTGTGAGGGAGAGTCTCGGTGAGAAAGTACCTCAGTGAGGGAGAGTCTCGGTGAGAGAGTACCTCAGTGAGGGAGAGTCTTGGTGAGAAAGTACCTCAGTGAGGGAGAGTCTCGGTGAGAGAGTACCTCAGTGAGGGAGAGTCTCGGTGAGAAAGTACCTCAGTGAGGGAGAGTCTCAATGAGAGAGTACCTCAGTGAGGGAAAGTCTTAGTGAGAAAGTACCTCAGTGAGGAATTACGATCCTTCAGTATGGTCTGTTAAAAAAAAATAATCGAACTCTTTTGGGCGGGTTTAAATAGCACACAAAAATACAGATTATTTACATCAGTGATCCAGGAAATGTAAGATCACTGCGCGATACCAGGAAGGTATCCCCGAATCCCGTAAGCCTAGCCCCCTCTACCTCAGGTCCCGCTAGTGCTCAGAGTGACTGTGAGAGTTTTAGAGTTGGTTGTTCTGTTTGTATCGCGGAAATCAATAGGCTGATCTTACTTCATGTTATTATCTTATTATTTATTTATTTATTTATTTATAAATTTTAGCATACATACAGAGGTACAAAAAAATACAAGTAAGAGCAGCATGCCAAAGCCACTTATATGCATAGCATTACGGGCTGGCTTAAAATTAACTTAAGATTAACTAAGCAATGATGAAATCAGTGATAAGACATTATTGTAAACAGATAACTATAAAATACAAATGAGTATTACAAAGACAGGTCATGTGGTTGCATGCATTGCTGTACATTCAGGTAGTGTATTTAAAAAAAAAATAACAAAGTTAGGTTTAACATTTGTGTGATATAATTGTGAGTAACATTTAGGATATACAATTTATATGGTTCAGTTATTCAGTATTTATTTGGTTTTTAGTGAGTAAGTGAACTTTGAGAAGAGACTTGAATTTATAAACAGGTAGTGTTTCTTTTATATTTACAGGTAATGAATTCCAGATTTTAGGGCCTTTTATGTGCATTGAGTTTTTGCATAGCGTGAGATGGACACGAGGAACATCAAAGAGTGATCTGTGCCTTGTATTATGGTCATGTGTTCTGTTGAGGTTGGCAAGGAGATCTTTGAGGGGAGGGTTAATATCAATTAAGTGCTATGTATGTAAAGGTGAAAATAATAAGTATGGATGTTTTGTAGGGTTTAGTGGGTTGAGTGTTTTGAATTTTGGGGGGAGTGTGCTCCCTTAGTGAGAATTTGTTATATTCAACTGCACCTTTTTTTGGGGTAATTAGGGGTTGAGATGGTTATTGTTGTTGAGCCCCATGCAAAAATTCCATAGGTGAGATGGGTAAATAAAAAGGTGATAAAGGGGCCAGGGGCTGACTGTGGAAATAGTACCGTATCTTTCGTGTATGCCACAGTTTTGGGAAATTTTTAAAATTTGTTTTTAAAATTGTAGAAATTTGAGTCTTTATCGAGGGGGTTTCCTAAAAATTTTCCCCTCTGTTAGCTTTGTGATAGGTATCCGTTTATCGTTAGTAAGAGGACACGTAGCCTGCTACCAAACTGAAGAAGTAGGTTTTGTCAATGTTTAGTTAAGTTTGTTAGTCCTCATCCAGGTAGTTTTTTTTCTGTAATTCGGTATTTACGATGGCTAGCGTGAGGGGCTCGGTGAAAAAGGACGTTTTGGGGTCATCTCAAAAGTGTGGGTTTGGGTAATTGCGAAAACATTTGGTAGGTCATTTATGATGGGAGAAAAGAGAAGGGGCCAAAGGGACATTTCCCCTGTGGGACACCAACTGAAATTTGGGGTTCGCAGAAGATTTTTCCCCATTTGCGTACCATAAGGCTTCTGTTGCGGGGTAAATTTGGTAGTTGGGGAGTGCCCCTTATACCATAGTGTGAAAATTTTACGTGCAGAAAGTCATGGTCAACGTATCAAAACTTTACGTAATCAAGAAGACCCCCAGTGGGACTTTTTTTTTCTCTATTGCTTTTAACATTTCAACAGGAAATCATCATTAGTTTTTTTTATTAGCCGAACCAAATTTGCGGGGTTTTGAAATGTTAGGGGAGTGGGGTAGGAGTAATTCGTTTATAAATTAATTTTTCGAAGATTTTTGAGAGAGGGTGAAATTGGAATTGGCCTATAGTTATTAAACCTTTTTGGGTCTCCTCCTTTAGGATCGGGTGACCCTTGTATTTTGAGAATATAGGAAGTGGGGGTTCAATGGATTTGTTAAAGGTGTTGAAATGATTGGTGAAGTATTTGTGACTTTTTTTTGTATAAAAAGGGTGGAAAGGGTTTTAAAACTCCTGCCTTGTTTTTCAGTGCGTTGAATAAGGGACTTCATTGGGTTAGCGGACTAGGAACAGTGGTTGGGGTAGTTGCCAGTGAGGTGTCATTTGGGGGGGTACTGAGCTTGGGGTATTATGGAAAGGTTTTGACCTATAGTGGAGAGAAATCATTGAGTCTGTTTCTGTTTTCTTTTGGGTGGGATTTGGGGTTTCATTGATTTTGCTATTTTTATTTCGCTATGTCGTGATCCCTTTTTTGTTCCCGAATTTTCTGAAGGGTTTTCCCAGGTCTTTTTTATATCACCTCGTAATTTTGGATAATCTTTCTATAATAAATTTTTTTTTCCCCCTTTTATCAGGCTGGTTGGATTGACGAGAAAACGTTTTTGTTTGGGGCTCTGGTTTGTGACCCATTCGTACTGTTTTTATTCGGTGTTTTGTTTTTATGTTTTAAAATGCTGGTGTTAGCAGGGACTGTTCAGTTTTCTTAGCTGTCACGTTTATTTTTTTGGGCAGTTTGTTAAAAAGGTTTGGGGTTTTTTTTTAAAAAAATTTATTAAAACATTCGTCAATACGTATAGTTTTTCTAGCCAGTGTGCCAGTCAATTTTTGTTTACTGCTGTTGTGAAGTTATTAATGGCTCCTCTTTGGGAAGTCTAAAAGGTGACTTTGTAGTTTTTGGGGATTTTCCAGATTTTTATGGGGAAAGTAGGGGTGTGGTCTGTGGTATTACGTAATTATCCTGATTTTAAAGGGGATATGGTGTTGGGCCCCATGTGGTCAAGAGGGAAAAACTATCTCGTAACTCTTGTAGGTTTTTACTGTTGGTACAAACATGCAGTTACTCATTTTGGTTTGTGAATTCAGTAACGTGTGGGGCCTGGTCTTGCAGGAGATTTATATTGAAATCACCTGGGGTAGTAATGAAACTTTGTTCATGGTCATCAGTTATCAACTTTCCCAGGTTTTGACTAAATTGGGTAATGTTTGATTGTGAATTTGTAGATGTTTTTCACTGTGGGGTTTTTGTAGGTATTTGGATTTTAATTTAGTATTAAATTCCCCATGTTCATCCCTTTTTCAAATTTATGATACATTTTATTGGTCTGAGTGTATTAGCAGTGCCACCCCCTTTTTTGGCTGGCCTACAGTTGTGTTGGGTGTGTAAACCGGAATGGGATAGACATCGTATATGGTTTAGCCAGGTTTCAGTTTGGTAATGAGGACTAGGCATGCAAGGAATTTAGTAATGCTGGAGGTCTCATAATGCTTGCTTAAAGATCGATATTTAGTTTAAAAACAGTTATGTTTTTTGTTAGCCTGAGAAGTGCCTTTTTATTTTCCGTGTGTGTAATTACAGTAAATGTTTGAATCATTTAAGTCATTAAATAAGAGGGTTGGGATCGGACAATGCTTGTAACAAAGATTTTTGTGAATCACAGTTAGAATTAATAAAAAAAAAAGTAAAAATTCAAAGCTAAAAAAAAATAGCACTTGAATATTTAAAAATGTAAAAAAAAATGAGCTAAGGGAGTTTTTTTTAAAAATAAAATAAAGGAGACAATTAAAAGGACAAAATAATTTGTGGGGAACAAAAAAAGGATGATCAAATAAGGAGCTTGGGGAAAATGATAGAGGTAGTACTTTAAAAGGGAATTCTTTAAAGTTTTAAAAAAATATATAAAATTTTTAAAATAAAAGGGCTAATATAATTGTGGGGAAAAAAATGGTAATCAAATAAATGAGTTTGGGGTAAAGGGAAATAGTGAACTTATTAACTTTAGCACCCGGAATAGCACCTTGATTGTTTAACAATTGCGAATATATGATCTAAGGTATTTTTTTAAAATAAAATAAAGGACAAAAAATATAAGGGATACAATTTAAGTAATGGGAAACAAGTTTAAATGGAAGATGTCACTATGAAAAATATTGGTTTAGGGGTAAGATTGATTTGAATAAAATAATTGAGCAGTTTTTTTGCACAATAAAAAAAAAAAAAAATGAGGTTTGGTACTGCAAAAAAAGATATTTTGGAATTTCAAAAAAATAAATTGGGAAAATACACTAAATTTCAAACACAATAAAAAAAGACAAAAAAAAAAAAATAGTGGGAAACAAAATTTAAAAGCAGGTAAGAACAATGATAATGGGGAAAGCTTGGGGATAATATATAAAGATGGAGAAGGGACAAAGGTAAATAAAGGTTGGGGTTAATAACAAAATTTAAAATTTTTCAAAAAAATGTTTTGGGAAATATAAATAATGTTTATGAAAAAATAAATTGACGGTAGTAAATATGGTGTTTAAAAAAAATTTTAGTAATAATAAGTTTTCAAAAAAAGTGAAAAAGTAAGTTTTTTTCATTCAATATTGCATGGGAGTTTATATGAGGTTTATGGCATCCCGGGAATAAGATACTTAAAATGTAAATTGGATAAAAAAGGTAAAGGAATTAAACAAGTAATGGTTTTTAAATTCAAAAAAGTTTAAAAGTAAATGAAATTAAGTAAAATGATAATTTTTTAATTTTTTGAAGTAATATCAATTATAGTATTTAAAAAAATATAGGTATAAATGGACAGAGAAAGTATCAATTTACTAAAGTTTTTAAAAAACAATAAAACAAAAATTACATAAAGGGGGACTTATGCTTACTAGTAAAACAAAAAAAGGGTAGTTGTTATTTTAAATTTC